TTCCCCATGTAAATAGGCAAAAATATTCTCAACTGCCATTCACACACTTCAGAAATACAGTTCATTGGCCCATATCGTGCCTTCTCTGTGCTAGAGATGAACTTAATTCTTCTTATATGTGAAAGAGATCTGCAATTTAAATGACTAATTGCATTGTAGCTTTAGGCTGAACATATTGGTAATGCACAAATGTTGATGACATGTGAAGGGTCAAGAGATTTATAATTTAGTTGACAATGCATTGCTTAAAATGATGTGGCAAAGAGCCAGAAAATTTTAGCTTAATAATTGTCTGTTAACTAACATGACATATTTGTATAGGATTCATTACCTCCAGGTACAGATTAAGCATCTGATGTACCCATAAGAAGTGACATGCGTACATGAATCTTGGGCATAATAGTGAATAAACTGACACTGCATTCACAGTAATTTGTTTCAATATGTAAAACATGTTGTTGCCTACATTTGAAAATACTTGTAGGGATGTTGCAATGAAATCTGAAGAAAAATGTGTAATTGAATGGAGTTTTCTATTATATAGATCTGACAGCTCTGTGAGGCTTTTTTGTAGGCTGCAGATAACATCATAAATACACATTTGCTTTCAGCTGCACAAGATGCAGTCTGGATATAGAAATCTGAGTCTTTCAGCCATTGGCTTGAGCTACCCGAATGATCTATAAGGTTAAAAAAATAAAAAATCCCCAGACCCCAACCTAAAACAACCAACTTTATTCTTTTTTAAAAAAGAATCCTATAAATATTGAGTCATCTAATACTTTAGTGTTGTGAATGTGGGAGTATTTCTGTCAGACTGAGGTTTGTTAGAATAGGCAGCATCAGTAGGCTGGCTTGCCACCAGACTGCTATCAACTTCTTTCACTTTGTTTTCTCTGGCCTGCATTAGGCACTTGTGTGTACGAGCAAAAAGGTCACAATTTTGCCAGGGTCTGTTCCTTTCCCCCTGGCTGCTGGAGGAGACTCAGGTAAGTGCTTGAACACAACGTGTTAGTGGTTTTTTAACCTTTGTTTCCTATGAGACAGGAATGTGCTGAGAGACCAAGTAGAGCATACAGTAGATATCCCTGATCTCAGTATGACCACATGTGACAGAGATGGGGGTTGAACCTGGAAGCTTTTGCTTCAATTCACTAGGTGCTCTTACCACCTTTCAGCAACACCTCTGCTGCACACAGCTGTCATTTTTCAGTGTTTGGGGGTGTCATTGAAAAGTGTCTCATGACTTTGCTTCCTTCTGCTGGTGGTATTTTTATAATGTGCAGCAGAGCTGCAACAGCAATCTGCTCTCTTGGGATCTTGGCTCTGGGCCTGTGATATGTTTATGCCACACCAAAAATTGAAATGAGAACTCTTGGCGTGACTTTTAAACATTTGACCGAGTACTTTTCTCCCTTAAAGTGTCTCCCTCCCAAGAGCTTTAAAATTTTGGATTTTGGTTGGTGTGAAGTCATTGAACTTGGGAAGGGAGTGTGTATTCCACCAGGAACAGCTCACTGAACCTGACTGGAACTTGGTGGGGAGGGAGATATCTGCAGACCTCTATGAGCTTTGTGTCAGGACCTGTAGAATAGCTCTGAGCAGTTTTGAAATCCTTGTTGGTATCCATGATCCAAACTTGCAGATGCCAAGCTCCAGATACCTTGCACACTAGAAGTAAGGTGGGAATGGTAGCTCTGTATTAACTTCACTCTTACCTTTTCAGAGAATTGGTATTTCATTCTCCATCCAGCCACTGGAGAGAGCTCTAGAGATCTTTAAACAGGTTTCCAGAGCAACCTCTGAATGAAACTGGCTGTTCAACAGCTTGGGACTACAGCAGGAGCACCACAATGGGTTGTGCTGCCAAGTGAGTGCAATTGATCTCTGTCAGGTGTTTATAAAAGGCTCTAAATGTGACAGTGTGCTGCTGTGGAAAAGGTGCTGATTTGGGCTCAGTTCTGAGGACAGATCAAAAGAAGGACTCCTGCTGCTGTGACCTCCTGGGGCTGATTTTAAGCCAGTTGTGGTCTCAGTACTGGGATTGATGTTTACAGTGGTGCAGTTACATTGCTGTAGTGCCTCACCTGGCTTACAAACAGGGTCTGTCAGCTGTGATACCCACAACAAACAAAAAAGAGCAAGAAAAAAAGAAGTTGCTAGTTAGAGCACTAATAATCAAATGTTGCAGAAGGAGGGTGCAGGCTGATTGCAGTAGCCTTGGTTAGAACTGATTCTACAGGGATGCATTTTCTATTTGTTTATCTTTGTACTTGTCTGTGACCTCGTTGAAAAGCAGCACTTTTCCCCTAGAAACAGACAAAGCTGTCTTGGGGCGTGCTGAAGACTAGCAGTGAAGAATCCCCCAAAACAGCAGGGCACAAGTGGTTGCTGCCCAAATGGGAGGAGCATAATGGAGATGTCAGGGAGCAAGGAGTGAGCTGGTGTTTTTCAGGTCTCAAAAGTTTTGTGCTTTTGAGGAAGGGGTATGCGAGATCTAAAGGAGAGGATTATTGACTGTTGCCTAGGGCCAGACAAGGTCGACCTCCTGCCCAATAGGAATTTGCTAAAGTGGAGCAGCAGAGGACCCTCCCTAAAGTGTCCCTTGTGTCAGCTTGAGAGCTCAGAGCTGGGCATTTCATAAGTAAAGTCTTGGACATTAACAGAGGGGTCTGTGATGGTTCTTTGGGATGTGCAGATCTTGGACCACTGCTTGGTCCAAGTTCCAAAACAAAACCAGGAAAAAACAGTGTTTCAATACAAACTGTGGAAGACAGTAGCTAACAGGAAATAGTGCTCAGCACTGCATAAATTCACTTGAAAGTGGGTTCCCCAGCATGGCCCCTATCTGGACTGGAATGACCTAGGGTGTCTGTTGGCTTCTTTAATTTTAAACCATCATGTACTTTGAGAGAAGGACACTTTCTTTTAAAGTGGTAGGAGCTGTTGGTTATGGTAGGAGCTGTTGGTTGTCAAACAGCTCCCTGTGGTAGGAGCTGTTGGTTGTCAAAGAGCTCCCTGGCCCCTGAAATGCTGTGCTCGGTAGCTTTGATAAGCCAGAATGATGCTGTGGGAAACTTAGAACTGTGAATGGCTGTCTTAGTAAACAGGGGCCCAGGACAAGCTTTGACTTTGGATGTGGTATTGCAGCATAATATCGCTTTATGTCTCTGCACTGAGCATGATGGGTAGGAATTTAAGAATAAACAAATCCTTAACTCTGTCTCAAACTCAGGCAGCTTGGTGCTTCTGCCCTGTTGTAGCATCTTGCAGCTACAGCAGCTTCCAAAGCAGGCTGGGTGATTTGTGCTGTCTGTCTCCCTTTTTTGTAAGAGTGAACAGGATTGAGGTGGCTTTGTTTAGTGTCTTTTTAAAGGTAAGACTTCCAGTCTAATGACTTATTTAGAGAGAAAATACTTTCACCTCAATAAAGTTCTTTGAATTATAAAGGACATTGCTGTTGGGTTACTGAAAACCCTTGGGGTTTGTTTCATTTATAACATTGCCTCGGGCCTTCTGCTGCATCCTGTTGGACTGACCTCCTTTTCAACCCGTGCTGGCAGCTGCATTGCAGAGCTATCTTTCCCTTGGATCCTTCAGGGTTGTCATATGACAAACTTGAACTGTGACCCTTTTGTGTCTTACCAGGACAGCAGTGCCCTCTGTGCAATGTGGCCAGCAGTCTTCCCCACGCACGCATTTGTTCCGAGCCATTTAACAAACTGAAAGTTTCAAATGATGGCATTTCATAGTGTTTAATAGTATTGACTGCAAAGCAAATGAAATGGTGCTGAATACCCTGCGTGCTGCTTGTAAAAAAATACAGCTTCCATTTCTGCAATGTGCCCTGGGTTTTCTGTGGCTAGCATGTGCTCTCTGGTGAATCTCTTTATATTTTTATAAATTTCAATGCTTCCACCCTAACAACAGTAGCATTTGCTGCTATATGTAGTCCAGCACTGGTAGTCATTTCTAATAAATGGGGGGTTTAAACAGATTTCTCTAAGCAAAGTGGGCAAAGTCATTTTGCTGAAGTCTTGCAGAGAGTGTTAGGGTAAGAATTGATATAGTTAACACTGCATCCAAGCAACACCATCTCCAAGTGGTGTTGATGCTGGCAGGCATTGCCCTGCTGAAGTTACAGAGACTGAGCACTCGTATTTGTACAAATTACATTCATTACCAAGAACCCTCCAGTAGTGATAAGAGACTGGCTGTGCAGCACAGATTGGCTCCAAGATAAGTAGCCAGTCTATTGTGCAGCTCATGGTAATCTTCCTCTTCCCCACCCCTAATAATAAATCTTGGGGCATTTTGGAAAGCGTGGGGGTTGCTCATTCTAGTAGCTTGAATATAAAACTACTCAATGTCATCATCTCCTACCAATTATATTTTCATAACCAAGCAAGGCAGCTGACTGAGGTGGATAGGCTCAAATACAGTGTTCTGAATATCTGGATGCTTTCACTGAGTATTTGTTGCCCTCTTAAAGGACAGAGCACATATGATGGCTGGGATGAGTTTCACCTGGCCATGTTTCAAAACTAGGGTGCACCACAGTGACAGTTCCTCATGAAGAGATGGAAACCTCTGGAGCAAGTGGTAGTAAGAGCTGTGCACGACCTGGGGCTCTGCATAGGTACTGTGTTAGTACCTTCTTCATAGGTGGCTGATGTTTTCTCAGTGCAAGTCTGTTTAGCAGACTTCAGTGGAATGGCAGTTATTTATCTTACCATCTTAGTATAATTTTAAAGGAAGAAAGAACTTTGTGGTTGCTTTGACTGAAATAAACCATCACCTGGCAAGCGCTTGCTTTGTCTTTTTCAGTATCTAATGTGCAAGGTTTTTTGGATTGCTGGTTTTCAACGCGGAAAGCTGAACATCAGTGGGCTAGTTTTATACAAATAGGCATTATAATCCAACCAGTTTAGTTAAAACTTCTATTTACATGAAATTCTAATGTTTCTGATGGGTTTTTTCTTCCTCTCTCCCCCATTTAGGGTTTGAGAAGCAATGGAATTGCTGGATCATCAGGTTTTAGCCTTACGAAGCAGATGCTCTGTCCACGAGTAACCCGTGTCTGTCTCAGGGACTTGATATTCTGCATGGAACAAGAGAGGGAGATGAAGCATTCTCTACGCTTGTACCGTGCCCTTCTGAAGTGATTTGAATCTTGCATTTCACCATGCTGTCTACTGCCAAAGATAACACTGAAGCATTGTTGCACTGTCTTGAAATTCCAGTTTCTGGAAAATGATCCGTTGTAAGGATAACTTTTGTTTACAGATAAACATTTTTATTAAATACCTAACTTAGCACCTGTAAGGTTTTAATAATACTTGGCTTAAATCTGTCTGTAAACCAATGAAAACACTGAGCTGCACACATAAGCACCTATCTGCTTGCATTGAACTGTCTTACAAGGTCTGAGGGCTTGATAAGTGTCCCTAGTTAATGTATGCCACTAGCTTCAGTACTCCAGAGTCTGCAACATCTGTTCTATGTGTAGTGCCACCTTCCAACCCCATCTTATTTAGGGGAGCAAATATAATGGCACAGCATAGCATGGCAACTGTATTTAATCATGAACCAGCAGTCAGTAAACATTCTAATGTATTGCTTCTGTGACTCAACGTCTTAAATTTTTTTAAAGGGTTTAGAATTACTACTGGATGCCCACTTGTGGAGACCAAATAGCAAGTAAAAGGAATGAGGGGTCCTTTGTATCCCACACTTTGCCTCAATTGCCCTCTGAGAAGGTGACTGAGGGAAGGAGGACAAATCAGTCATTGTGATTGAAGTACATCACACAATGTAGTTAGGGCATACTTGGATGGTCACGGAAAATTTGGAGTTACTAAAAATAAAAGGAATAAAAAATCCTAAAAAGGGAGGGTAAACAGAAAAAACAGTTTATCTTTCTGTGAATAAAAGAAATAGCATTGAATTTGAGCATAGATGTGGAAAGATATTAACAAAACCTGTTCTGACTACAAAAAAGAGAAAAGTTGAGATTCATTGAAACTCTGGAGCTGAAGACTCTCCTTGGAGAGGAGCAGTGTTTGCAAAGCACAGGATTCACTGCTTTAGAATATTGTTTTAATACTTTAATGTGGTGTAACAGGGAAGCTTCTCAAATTTAGACAGTTGCTTTGTTCCTATTCAGTGAGAAGGAGGACTCTGGATTATAAAGACTGTTAGAACAGGTTCAAAGATTGTCTGCTTGCTGTTAAAGACTGCCTTGTGGTGGAAGGAAAGCCCTTTGGGTCACCCTTCTTCCCAGGCTCCAAACATGTTGCCTTTCATGACACAGCACTGTATAGCATGGCTGTTTCCCAGGACTGGTGGGAAAGACACTGACTGCATTCAGAGAATCACAGAATATCCTGAGTTGGAAGGAACCTACCCCAAGGATCATAGAGTCCAACTCTAAAGTGAACGGCCTGCACAGGAATTGAACACAGAACATTATCAGCACCATGCTCTGACCAACTATTGAATGGCTTCCTGCTGAATTTTCTTTTCTTTGACAAAAAACAAGCTTCCTAGGGTTACTTGGCATGCTGCTTCAAAACTTGAAGCAACTGTTCACACAACTGTTCTGCACTGTCAGAACCACTGTAGATGGTTACCAAATTCACGAAGTTGTGTATCGGTTATGTTGGTTTTTGTTGGAACAGTAGTAAACAAATCTAGTAAATGAATGCTGTAAATTATTTATATATGTGTATATAGCATATATATATATAAGAAAAGCAGTACTTTGACTATAGTTTGCAAGATATTGATGGCATCGGGCAAAATTGTTTTGTATTATTAAATGCTTAGCTTTACTTTTTATGTAAAGTGCAGCATTTTCCATATTTGTGTACTGTTATCTTATTGATCAGATGTTAAAAATTATTTTAAATACTGCATTAAAGCAATTATTTTATTAAAAATAATAAATTGGTAACTTTGTTTGCTGACATGAGAAGTTCAGCATCTGAAGCTGTCAGCACCATGACTAATGGTGTGACTTGGAGAGCCAGTCCCAGCTGTCTGCCCATCGCAGGAGCTGGCACAGTTTCCTCATGTAACATATTAACTATGAACATCTCTATTTGAAGGGGTTTTAAAACAGGTAGATGACAGAGAAAAGGATTGCTGGAAAGGGGAGGGGTGGGCAGGGAGAAAAAGAAATGTCTCTAATTTTCTCCTCTCAGCACAAAGACTGGGTTGTGGGGTTTTTGGTAACAGCTGGGCAGAGGTGAGAGCTTTGCACATGTTCTGGGAAGCGAAAGCATGAACTGTGTCAGACTTCAGCAATGTGCTGTGAAAGCACTGTCCTAAATTATTTTTAGAGCAACTCACAATTAATTAAATGCAGGCTGGAGAATCACACAGAGAATCTGTAAATTGGCCTGCCTCTTTCTTTTGAAACCAGTGCAATGCTGAAGTGAAATATGTTGGAGAAAATAATTGATAAATAGATATATCCAAAGGATTATGGATGATTCAGGTGTTTTTATGGCCTGCCTATGATGCAGATCACAAGCTTTTATTGCTGCCAGCACAAGTTGTCTCTCACCAGTCAATTCTCCCTGTGTGTTCCCTCTTCCCCCATGTGTCATGTCCACACCCACCCCACTCCCAAAAGACCTCTCAAATCCAAAATTTTATACTGTAAGGAGTAGCAGATGTTTCAAAAAGGTTTTTCAGCAAGTTTATAGGCCTAATTTCAGACAGGGATGTCTTTGTCTTTGGTGCAAAAGCTGAAAATACTTGTCTCTTTGCCAAGGGTTCATCCTGCCCCCAGATGAGCTCAACTTTGCTTCTGAGAAAAGTGTCCTCTAAAGTGGCATTTATTTAGGAGATACCTGGGCTTTGCTCAGCTACATCAGGAATTAAAGGAGAGATCACCAGGGGTTCACTTCCATGCTTTTCCCTGCTCTTTCTGCCCTTTATGGGAATACTGAAATCCCAGTCATAAGGACAAAACCTGCTATCATGCTCCCTTGCCTTTCAGTTCTCAGTGTGCTCATGTTCAAGCTTGGGAACCTGGAGGAACTGTCTGTGCCACCGGTGCTGGGAGGGCTCTAAAGCTTGCTCCAGGCACCTCCTGCTTTCCAGCTGGCCTGCTAGCCTAGTGGCTGTTTCTGATGCACTGAGCTGGCTGGGCAACTATCCCTGCCACTGAAGTGCTCAACCTTCAGAGAAAAGGGTGTACAGTTGGGGGGAAAGCTGTTGTTGCTTGCTCTTTACTACTATCTCAGCAGCATTCTGTGCCAAATTTTGTGTGTTACTTGCTGACAAAAGGGGGCCTATACTGCTTCTCCAACTGCTGCTTTTTCGTTTTATTGCCATTTTCAAGTTTTAGCACTGAATCTAGCCCTTTGCACTGTCTTTGACTCCAGCTTTTCCCTTCTCCCCATGGGAAAGCCTAGCTGGAGTGCACTAACACACCCTGCAGCTTTGTTTGAGGTTTAATGAGGAAGGTAGCAGGGGATTGTGAGACATTGCTGGATGATTCCTCAAAGCCATTGCACTCTCTTGGACACTTTGACACGAGTAGCTTAAGGCTACTGTTTGCATCAAGTTGTTCTAGGCCCCCTCTCTTTGTAGGCACCTGTGTCCTGCCATGTGAGTGCACTGTGCTGAGCAAAAGTGCTGTCAGCTGTTCTCCAGGTTCATTTCTTTGCTCTGTTCTTTGCTTTCCTCTTCATTTGTAATCACTGGGGTGAAGAGAGAAAGACTAAAGCAAGTGAGGATGTCCTGAAGGGGCAGACAGTCCAAGTGATTGGACTTGGTGAAACAGGCTTGTTCCCAGCAGCTTTTCAAATGAGGGCTGCTGGGTTTCTGAGGCCAAGTGCTTCATACTCTTCCCTGTGCATGTACCACACGATGTCTGTGCATGCTGTGAAAGCTGGATGCCATTGTTATCCCAGGTCCCATGGCTGTAGCTCTGGAAATAACTACAACCTGTAGTGAAGGCTTTACTCCTTTGAGGGGTGCAAAGCTGAGTGCCAAGACTGAACAGCACACCGGACCTGTCTGTTTTGACACTTTGGGTTCTGGGTTCATTACGACGTGTCAGTGCCTTGTCCTTCCCTCACTGGATACAAAGGCTGCTTGTGTGCAGGCCACAATGCCAGCGTTTCACTTGGTGCAGGCCTTCAGTAACCTAGATAAGCACCCCATTTGTAACACTGAAGGAATAAGCAATAAACTTCATCTTTTCCTTTCAGATATATCCTATCTAGGCCTCTTCTTTCTACTTCTCTTGCAGGCATGAGATGGTCACTCACTGCCTGCTCTCTGTAGCTATTCTGGCATGTTAGCTGGTAGCTTTGCTACCCAGCCTCTCCTCATGAGCCCCTGCTTCACAGTTCCCCTTGTGAGGAACCTGGTTTTGAAAGTTTTTTGCTCTGAAGGGAGGAAAAGGAAGATTTTCATCCTGGACTTGAATGGTTATCTTGGAGTGGAAGGAGATGGTGGCACAGGTCAGCCCACAGCCCAGAGGCTGCTACTTTGTGCACCAGGAAGATCCTTGCAGGAAGCTGGTGTTTCATGGTGGCAAAGACTTCCACCATTAACTCCTACTTCAGTCAGAGGTTTTCTACAAGGTTCTTATAGCAGTAGGTGCCTCCCATCTTCGGGAGCCACCCGAAGTTCCCACTGGACACCCTATCAGAGATGGTCATCCATTCTCTTCCCCAGCCCCATCCCACAGTCCCACAGCTCTTCCATGTCTCTCATTGTCTGCTGTGTGTCTCAGAACTAGCAAAGGGTACAGAGCCTGTTTTGTGTGATTCAGGTGGACACTGAGGGGTGTCAGGACCCACACTGAGGCCCCAGAGGGTGACCAATATGTGCTTCACCAGAGTTCTGCCCCTTTGCAGTGTCACGAAAACACCACCTCCCCTGGGGCTGCACCCTGGTGGGAGGGAGCAAAGGTGGGGGTCTTCTGCATAGGTACTGCTAAGGCATAAAGTGCCTCTTTTAGCAGCTTGGCATGCCATGCTCCTGCTCCACATGTTTTGTTTGATAACTGCTCTGTGGTTATCAGTAAGCAGCTACTGTCTCTACCAGATCACAGGGAATAGTATTTTTAAATCTATTTGAAATGAAAACATTATCTGACAGATCAGATCATCTGTATCTGTTTTTGAGAGCTAATTCATAA